TGCCACGGGGCGCACGACGGGTAGGAGAAGAAAGAGGGCCCGATCGTGTGCCTAGGGGCGCACGACGAGCAGGGCACCATCGTGTGCCACGGGGCGCACGATGGGCAGTTGAAGGGCACCGTCGCGTGCCACGGGGCGCGCGACGGGCAGAGTAGGAGTCACACACCCGTGGGCGGGACAAGGTAAAACTCGTCACGCGCCCTAGGCGCGCGACCGAAAAATCATAGCGGAAGCGTAGGGCGGGCCCACAGGCCAGGTCGTAATTAGCTCCGATAACATGTCAAAATATGAGGTAAGTTGAAAGGAAGGGCCTAGGCTTAGTAGCCTAGGCCCGAACTAAGGTGTCGAGTAGGTTTTACCCTAGGCGAGGTATCGAGTGAGTTGAGAGAGGAATTGGAGAAAAGTGATGGTTTCACTGTAGGTTCAAGGGTACATATAGCATAGAAACCAAATAAGGTGCACCACCAACAACAGTTTAAATAACTACACTAACTACAACTACAAGCAGTTATAAAACATGACAAATATATTTCGACAGCGGCGACTCGCACGAACTGATCGACCTCGTGCCACTGCGCTTCGACCACATCCACCGCAGGGACTGGAAGCACCCTGACGGCAGACCGTGGGTTCCGCACCATCCCCACCCACGCGAAACGGCACTTCACAATCCCGATCCGGACGGAATATGCAGGGATTGTCACACACCGACGACGTCAACGAACGCGATCGCCGGCCGGGGACTCGCCGCCATCGCTGAAGCAGAGCGCCACATGCCCCCAAGGGAAGGGATGTCGCAGCTCGAGCTCAAAGTCACCACCCACGGCGTCTTCGGCACGCCAGAACATCCCCTCATCGGTCCCCCCTCGCAACACCTTCAGGGGATGCTGCGCGGAACTGGCGTCGGCACCTTCGATGCCCGTGGCGAGCCGCGACCCTACACCTACGAAAAATTCCTGGAGACCTACCCTCATCAACACGATTCGACGAAGAAGCTCACCGTGGAACAAGAGGAAAAATTGGCGCGCCGCGAAGCTGAGGAGCTTCGCCAGCAAAGCCTCTCGGAGGCACGCGGGACCTTCGCTTGTGCTGCCTGGGGAGGTGAAGCGGCAGAAAATGACTCCAACGAAGGAGGATGGGGAACAAGCGACGCTAGCGGCTGGGGAGACAGCGGCGGCACCTGGGCCAACGAGGGCGGCGGATGGGGCGCCGCAACTGGCGCCGACAACAGCACCTGGGGCACTCTCCGCGAAGAACGAAGGGGGGGAGAAGATGAAGTTGAGGAAAGTCAGGCAACACCCGCAATCGTTCCTCTCGGTCGTCCCCCGCGCCACGTTCCACTCGCACTACCCCCTCCTGACAACCCCCCGCGCCGCGATCCATGGGACACTATCACCTGGGGCAACGAACCGTCAACACCACGCCGCACCGCCTACGGACCTGCCCCTGAACACCGTGAACCCACTTTTGTCCCTGGAACCATCCCTGGGACTAACATCCCACTCTCCGAAATTCGGGACAGAGAATTCTTGGCGCTGATGCTGACCACCGCGGTAGAAGAAGAAACAGAGGAAGCAGCAACAGAACCTACCCCCGCACCTGACGAAGACCCTGAGGAAGCACGCATGCGCTACATGCGCACCTCCGGCTTTCGCGCTGATTACGCACTCTGGCACCAGCGCCTCGGCCACCCTTCCCGCGCGACGCTGAAAAACTGCATCGACGCAGGCGTCTTCGCTCCTGGCGCACTCCTGCGCCCCGACGGCTCCGAAGTAAGCGGCGCGACGCATCCGCGCAACTGCACCGTCTGCCCTGAAGCTGCGCTGAGCCACCAACCGTTCCTGCTACTCGAACATGGAACGAATCGTTACCCCAAGCTGCACAAGGTGTACAGCGATTTCCTGAACGTGGGGCATTGCGGAGTCGAAGACGAAATGTACACACTTACCTTCATCGATGCCGGCACGCGCTACGTGTGGGTCGTGAATGTGGAGACGCGCGACAGGAGCAAACGAAGTATTTCGGCTTTGGCTGGCACATGCGGAGAGGCAATCCGGGAAGAAACTCAAGATCTGGCAATTTGACGGCGCGGCAGAATTCAGGAGCAACCAGATGCAGACCTTCCTGACACAGAAGGGGATCGAGCACCACATCTCTCTCCCCTACGCGCACCAACAGCAGGGCGTAGCCGAACGGACCAATCTCACACTGATGACGAAGGTGCGCGCACTGATGAAGCAGTCGAAATTGCCGCCGATCTACTGGACCTACGCGATGCACCACGCCATGCGGGTGCACAACCTGCTTTCAACCACCGCAATCACCGGCAACCTTTCCCCGCACGTAAAATGGAGTGGAACCAAAGGGGACACCTCCATGCTCCGGGTATGGGGGTGCATGGTTCAATACCACCCGCCAACCTCAACCATCGGCAAGTTCGATAGCCGCGCACGCTGGGGAATCCACCTTGGTATCAGTTACGAGCACAAGGCGTGGATCGTGCTAGACCTCCTCAGCCAGAAAAACACTCACGCTCGCGACGTCATCTTCTACAAGCGTCTCTTCCTCGACCAGTTCCGCCGCGACGAGCAGACAAATGTGAATCGGGTCTACGCCAACGATGGCCACAGTTACGCAACGCCCGAAGATGAAGCCGCTGCAGCAATCTTGGAGCAGGACACAAGGGGGGATTTCGCATGGGAAAACCGGCGCAGTGACAACGACGACGACGACAATGATTCCTCAGGAAGAGGAACAGGCGGAACAGGCGGAGGCGGAACAGGCGGAGGCGGAACAGGCGGAAGCGGCAGAGGCCCAACACCGCCAACACCTGAACCGGAGAGTGACGACGATGATGTGCAGGAAGTCATCCCGCAACGTCGCCACGACAGCACCATCTCAAGGCTGCAGTTGCTCGGACTTCACACCGCAACCTCACAGGCACCACGCATCATCGAGCCCCGAAACCCGCGCGAAGCACTTCTGGACCACACAGCAAGGAATGGCGTGAGGCGATGGACATGGAAATCAAGGCGTTAGAGTCACGCGACACCTGGGTGCTCGTCGACCGCGCAGCAATCAAAGGCGCAAGAATCCTCTCAGGGAAATGGGTCTTCCGCGTAAAAACCGCAGCAGATGGGACAATCGAGCGCTTCAGAGCGCGTTGGGTGGTTCGCGGCTATGACCAGAGGCATGGGATCGACTTCGACCAAACGTTCGCCCCAGTCAGCCGCCACACCTCCGTCCGCATCCTGCTCGCCATCGCAGCTGCAAGGCACCTGCCACTCCGCCAAATCGAGGTGAAGAACGCGTTCCTGTATGCGTTAGTAGACGCCGTGATCTACGTGGAGCAGCCACACACATACGGCGAAGGAGACTCGCGCGTATGTCAGCTGCGCAAATCACTCTACGGGATCAAGCAGGCACCAAGGCTGTAGCAGCAGTACCTGCATAACATCCTGCTTGAAATCGGGTTCAAGCAAATGCCACACGATCCAGGGATGTACCGCCGCGATTTTCGCGGCGAATACATCCTCCTCACTGTGTACGTCGACGACCTGCTTTACATAGGCTCAAACAACGAGCTCCTCCAGCAGTTCGAAAAGGCTCTCGCGGGGCGCGTCGACATCACATGCAACTACGAGGTGAAGCAGTTCCTAGGCCTCAACATCACCTACGCGCCCGAAGCCATTCACCTTTCAGCGGCTAAGTACGCAGAGGAGTTAGGGAAGCGGTTCAACATTTCACCTGCACCTCTCTCAACTCCCTACCGAAACCCCGGACCGAACCACAAACCCGACGCCAAAGCCCTACCCCCCGCTGGGATTCAAACTTATCAACAGCGGTTGGGATGCCTCCTCTTCGCCTCTGTCACCTGCAGGCCAGACCTCTCGTACATTGCAAGTCAGCTAGCGCAATACTCACGCAAACCAACGGCTGAAAAACTTCTGGACCTACAGCGCGCCCTCCAATACTTCGTCTCAACGCCTAAGATTGGGCTACGTTACTCCACTGCACCAACCCCATCCTTCAATCTCACCGGCTATGTGGACGCCGATCACGCAGCAGATCCCGATAATCGACGGTCCAGGACTGAGTTCCTGTTCCGACTCGAGCCTACGGGACCAATTTCCTGGAACTCGCAGAAGCAGGAGTTGGTTGCCCTGTCATCAGCGGAAGCGGAATTCATCGCAGCAACCGCAGCAGTTCGCGAAGGCCTCTATCTGCAGGAACTCCTGCAAGAGGGGAAAATCCCAGCTTCGCCGACATTTCGTCTTCACTGCGACAACCAGAGCGCGATTCGCATCGCGAACAAACCTGGCTTCGTTAACCGCACCAAGCACCTTGCGCTGCGGTACTTCTTCGTGAAGCACGAAATAGACAAAGGCAAGGTCAACTTGACCTACTGCCCAACAGGTGACATGGCAGCAGACTTCCTCACGAAGCGACTGCCACGCCAGCAGTATCAGCACTGCTCCGAACTCAGCGGCGTGGTCAGGCAGGTCAAGCTAAGCTACGTCCAGGAGTGAAGGGGGGTGTTACGAATAGTAATATTCGATATTACTAAGCACTCCTCACCGTAGCAAGGTACGCACAATATCGGGAACGAACGCAAGCGTCAGACGGTTGGAATTGAGTCAAAGAGTCGGACGGTTACAGCACATCTGAACCGTCGGAAGCAAACGGCATCGGACAACTACAGGCAGGATGGTTCTGGCGGGAACAGTTTCGCAACTGTACGCGCTGCACGGTTGGGAATGAATTTGATTAAGGGAATGTACCCCTTAGAGTACATGGCTAGCTAGGTCGATTAATCTTCCCCTGTACTCATATTTATGTCGCTGTGTTTGCATGTTTTTATCATCTCAAGCATCTTACATTCACTCTGCTATTGAGATCAAGGGCCCACCAACACTACCCACTGCGTGCGAACCTACCAGAGTAGATCCTGGGTTACGATCAACTCCTGATCGCAGCAACAAGAATCTGGCTGGTCATGCTTATGCATGCGAATCAGCCGGCTTGAATAGCTTTGTAACCACAGTAAGCAGTTGAGCCTCGTCGATGGGGTTTGAGAGCATTCCGTCCATACCTGCCTCTTTCCACCTGCAGACATTCATGCGCATGCACATAAAATGATTTAAAAAAAAATGCAGAATGCCACGTGCTCGTTACTCCAAAAAAAAGTCCTCCAGGTCCCCAAAAAAACTTTTCCTTGCCCCGGCTCAACCCTGTTCATCACTCCCACTCACACACAACCCCTCTCTCTCTCTCCCCCCCCCCCCCCCCTGCTATTTCCCGATCCCACTCACTTGGCCACCAGTTCAGGCAAGGCGTCGTTGACCAGTCCCACGATGGGGATGTGCGAGTGCTGGGCCGCACTGCCCATGCGCACCACATCCTCGTTATAGCGCTGCTCCTCCATGCGCCTTACAGCTTGTGTGAATGCAAAGCTGTAGATAAGCAGGTATGCGAGGGGGGGCAGCTAAGACAGGATTCCTGAAGGGCACTGCTCATGCGCATCCCATCTTCGTTACGGCATTGCTCCTCTCATTCTCTGAAGGTTTCCAAAGAGAGAAGCTACAGATATGGGTAGGGCAAATGGGCAGACGGAAATAGCAGGTAAGGAAGGAACGAATGTTGCTGGAGTAAGGCAGCAAACAAATCGTACTCTGACACGTCAGCAAATCAAGTCGCACCCCGACACGTCAGCAAGACAATCGTACCCGGACATGTCAGCAAGGCGCAGGTTGACAAGGACCAAGTGAAACTCCGAGCCACGAATCTGCCCCAGCGCCTGCCCCTGCCCTTCCCCCTGCCCCTCCCCCCCTTGCCCCTGGGAGAGTGTGAGGGAGGGGGCGGCATGCAGGCGGGCGAGGGCGTCGCTAGCGGAGCCGAGAGCCAGCGCCACGTCAGCAAAGCGTGAGAGCATGACTGCCACGGCCTTGCGACTTATGAAGTTGTGATCCACTATCTGAGCGGAGGGAGTGGGGGGAAAGGAGGGAAGGGGAGGGCGAGGGGAAAGCATGATGCCACAGCCAATTGGGGAGGGCGAGGGGAAAGCATGATGCCACAGCCAATTGGGGAGGGCGAGGGGAAAGCATGATGCCACAGCCAATTGCCCAACCCCAGCGCCTTATGCAGTTGTGATCCACTATCTGGGCAGGGGTAATGGGGGGGCGAGAAGGGGAAGGGGAGGGAGGGGGAAAGCATGAGTGCCACAGCCAATGGCCCAGAGCCCCCAGCGCCTAACCCAGAGCCTGCCCCTGCCCTTCCCGTTGCCCTTCCCCCTGCCCCTGCCCCTGGGAGGGCATGAGCAAGGGGGCGGCGTGCAGGCGGGCGAGAGCGACGCTAGCGGAGCGGAGTGCGAGCGCCACGTCAGCAAAGCAGGAGAGCATGACTGCCACGGCCTTGCAGCTTATGAAGCTGTGACCCACTATCTGGGAGGGGGGGAGAGAGGGCAAAAGGAAGGGATAGGGGAAAGCATGAGTGCCACAGCCAAGGGCCGTGCCTCCGCCCCTGCCCTTGCCCCTGAGCGGGCCCCTGATTGAGCGTGCGGGAGGGGGCGGCATGCAGGCGGGCGAGGGCATTGCTAGCGGCGGAGCCGAGAGCCAGCGCCACATCGGCTAAACGGGAGAGCATGATTGCCACGGGGAGGGGCTGCATGTTGAGAGGGTTTTGGGGAGAACGACGCGCAACAGCATGAGGGGCACAGCCTTTCTTCCTATCTCAGATTCACATGCAGCATCACATGCGTCAAGACTCAGATTCAGAGTCTAAACCACACAACTTCAGAGTCTAAACCACACAACTTCAGAGTCTAAACCACACAACTTCAGAGTCTAAACCACACAACTTCAGAGTCTAAACCACACAACTTCAGAGTCTAAACCACACAACTTCAGAGTCTAAACCACACAACTTCAGAGTCTAAACCACACAACTTCAGAGTCTAAACCACACAACTTCAGAGTCTAAACCACACAACTTCAGAGTCTAAACCACACAACTTCAGAGTCTAAACCACACAACTTCAGAGTCTAAACCACACAACTTCAGAGTCTAAACCACACAACTTCAGAGTCTAAACCACACAACTTCAGAGTCTAAACCACACAACTTCAGAGTCTAAACCACACAACTTCAGAGTCTAAACCACACAACTTCAGAGTCTAAACCACACAACTTCAGAGTCTAAACCACACAACTTCAGAGTCTAAACCACACAACTTCAGAGTCTAAACCACACAACTTCAGAGTCTAAACCACACAACTTCAGAGTCTAAACCACACAACTTCAGAGTCTAAACCACACAACTTCAGAGTCTAAACCACACAACTTCAGAGTCTAAACCACACAACTTCAGAGTCTAAACCACACAACTTCAGAGTCTAAACCACACAACTTCAGAGTCTAAACCACACAACTTCAGAGTCTAAACCACACAACTTCAGAGTCTAAACCACACAACTTCAGAGTCTAAACCACACAACTTCAGAGTCTAAACCACACAACTTCAGAGTCTAAACCACACAACTTCAGAGTCTAAACCACACAACTTCAGAGTCTAAACCACACAACTTCAGAGTCTAAACCACACAACTTCAGAGTCTAAACCACACAACTTCAGAGTCTAAACCACACAACTTCAGAGTCTAAACCACACAACTTCAGAGTCTAAACCACACAACTTCAGAGTCTAAACCACACAACTTCAGAGTCTAAACCACACAACTTCAGAGTCTAAACCACACAACTTCAGAGTCTAAACCACACAACTTCAGAGTCTAAACCACACAACTTCAGAGTCTAAACCACACAACTTCAGAGTCTAAACCACACAACTTCAGAGTCTAAACCACACAACTTCAGAGTCTAAACCACACAACTTCAGAGTCTAAACCACACAACTTCAGAGTCTAAACCACACAACTTCAGAGTCTAAACCACACAACTTCAGAGTCTAAACCACACAACTTCAGAGTCTAAACCACACAACTTCAGAGTCTAAACCACACAACTTCAGAGTCTAAACCACACAACTTCAGAGTCTAAACCACACAACTTCAGAGTCTAAACCACACAACTTCAGAGTCTAAACCACACAACTTCAGAGTCTAAACCACACAACTTCAGAGTCTAAACCACACAACTTCAGAGTCTAAACCACACAACTTCAGAGTCTAAACCACACAACTTCAGAGTCTAAACCACACAACTTCACTCACACATCACCACGCATACACCCAACCACCATCACGTGCTTGCCCTTGACGCACAGGCGCAGCAGAATCTGGCGCCGTCTTGCTGCCGTGGCGCTGGTGTCCCGCGCGCAGCACAACACAACACAACACAAAACAGCACAGCACAGCACAACACAACACAGCACAGCACAGCACAGCACAGCACAGCACAGCACAGCACAGCACAGCACAGCACAGCACAGCACAGCACAGCACAGCACAGCACAGCACAGCACAGCACAGCACAGCACAGCACAGCACAGCACAGCACAGCACAGCACAACACAACACAACACAACACAACACACACCAGCACATCACAGAAACAGCATCACATCATAAGCCAACCACCCCACCCCACCCCACCCACCATCACGTGCTTGCCCTTGAGGCACAGGCGCAGCAGAATCTGGCGCCGCCTCGCTGCCGTGGCGCTGGTGTCCCGCGGGTTGAAGGAGAGCGCCTGGCGGGACGAGATGAGAAGGGACGGAGGGAGGAAAGGAGATAGACTCACAGGTTGCAGGAGAGGGCTTAGGGTCGGCGAACAAGATGAGAAGGGATGGAGGCGAGTAGCAAAAACAGTGCCATGGTTCTCCCTCCTTGTCAACAGGACAGGGCATCAATGCAATATATATATATATATATATACATATACATATATATACATATATGTATACATATACATATATGTATATATATAAGGGACTTACCTCAAGCAGAGTGGTGGCCATATCAGCAGCCCTCAGCGGTTTCACCATGATGCCTGCAAACCCCAGCTTCTGTGCTTCCTCTCTCAGCGCCTCGTTGGAGTCCTGTGAGTGAGAGGGGAGGAGAGAGAGACGATGCGGGGTGAAAGAGGAGGAAAGGGTGAGGGGAAGGAGGCAGTGGGAGTGGTCGGAACGATGTTATGGGCAAACCATGATGCCATGGTTCAAGCAGAGTGGTGGCCATATCAGCAGCCCTCAGCGGTTTCACCATGATGCCTGCAAAGCCCACCTTCTGCGCCTCCTCCCTCAGAGCCTTATTGGAGTCCTGCAAGTGAGAGGGGAGGAGGGAGACGGGAGCATAGGGACAGGGGGGAGAGAGGGGAGACACGGAGGATGATGCCTGCAAAGCCCACCTTCTGTGCTTCCTCTCTCAGCGCCTCGTTGGAGTCCTGTGAGTGAGAGGGGAGGAGGGGGAGAAGGTAAGGGGTTGTTTTGGTGAGCAGGGAAGAGAGGAAGGAAGCAGTGGGTGGGAGTGTTCGCAGCAACCACCCTCAGCGGTTTCACCATGATGCCTGCAAACCCCAGCTTCTGCGCTTCCGCCCTCAGCGCCTCGTTGGAGTCCTGCGAGTGAGTGGCGACACGGGGGACGGATAGGCGTGAGCAAAAGGACAGGGGAAGAGTGAGGGAGAGGGGAAGGAAGCAGTGGGAAATTGTCGCAGCAACCACCCTCCGTGGTTTCACACCATGATGCCTTCCCTTCTTCCTGGTTTCACACCATGATGCCTTCCCTTCTTCCTGGTTTCACACCATGATGCCTTCCCTTCTTCCTCACTCAGCTTCTGCACCTCCTCCCTCAGAGCCTCGTTGGAATCCTGTGAGTGAGGGGGGAGAGGGGGAGAGACTGGGACGACGGCGGGGAAGGGAGAGAGGGAACCGGTGGACACAGGATCAAAAGCTACAGGATCAAAAGCTACAGGATCAAAAGCTACAGGATCAAAAGCTACAGGATCAAAAGCTACAGGATCAAAAGCTACAGGATCAAAAGCTACAGGATCAAAAGCTACAGGATCAAAAGCTACAGGATCAAAAGCTACAGGATCAAAAGCTACAGGATCAAAAGCTACAGGTTATCTCAGAACGAGCAAACCCTTCTCGCTCGCCCACAAGATTCGCAGTTAGTGGTTTGTTTCGTTTCTCGTTCTCGCATCAGCAACACCAGCTAGCGTTTCTCACCTTGGCCACGAGCACCAGCGGGGGCGGGTTGAATGAAGTGCTACCCCATCAGCCACTCTCCCACGCCCACCCCAGTGAAGCCACGGAGTGGCTGATTGATGGAGTTGAGTCCGTCGTCTCTGCTGCTAGACGGTGCAGTGCAGTGCAGGGTGCGCAGGTCGAGTCAACAGCAAGCACTGGTTCTTTCTTACCTTGGCCACGAGCACCACAAGGGGAAGGTTAAAGTGCTGCTCCCACCCAAGGGAGGCGAGAGATTGCGTGATGGCGACGGGGTCAGTGGCGCGATGCTGTGAGGTGCAGGGTGAGTAGGGCGCTGGGTCTCACCTTTGCAACGAGCACCAGCAGCGGCAAGTTGGAGTGCTGCTCCCACCCAAGGGAGGCGAGAGATTGCGTGATGGCGACGGGGTCAGTGGCGCGATGCTGTGACTCCAGGTCCCTCAGTTGCAGCACCATGCGGCCCAACGCCAGGCCTGTGGAGGGACCGTCACTGTCCAAATCGACCACCACCACATCCCACCGGCTCTTGCGCTGAGAGGTTACAGTCATGCCTGCGTGACGGGAGGGGAGCAGAGAGATGCCGTGAGCAGAGAAGCGCCGCACCATGCGGCCTAGAGCTAGCCCTGTGAAGGCGCCACCGCTGTCCAGGTCGACCACCACCACATCCCACCGGCTCTTGCGGGAGGCTGCTCCTGCCATGCCTGGATGAAGGGAGGGGAGCAGGGGGGGGGGGGGGGGGGGGGGGCAGGGAGGAGACGCATTGAGAGGCGAAACGAGCAATGCATTTCCCCAGTGTCAAGATAAGGGCGGGTAGATAGCTGCAAGCTCTGATCGCCGACTAGTAAGCAAGCAATGCATCTCCCTCCTGCCCTTCAAGGTCTCTCAGCTGCAGCACCATGCGGCCCAATGCCAGCCCTGTGCAAGGGCCATCGCTGTCCAAATCGACCACCACCACATCCCACCGGCTCTTGCGGGAGGCTGCTCCTGCCATGCCTGGGGGGTGGTGGTGAGGGGAGCATAAGAGCGGAGGGAGAGGAGGGAAGCAGTTGGCAGATAAGCGCAGCACCATGCGGCCCAACGCCAGGCCTGTGGAGGGACCGTCACTGTCCAGATCGACCACCACCACATCCCACCGGCTCTTGCGCTGAGAGGTTACAGTCATGCCTCTGTGTGTGTGTGTGCAGCATAATGTGTGAGAAGAGGAGGAGTGGAGGAGGGGAAGAACAAAGGGAGGTGCAGTAAGGAGAGGAGTGAATCCCCCTGTGACTCCAGGTCCCTCAGTTGCAGCACCATGCGGCCTAGAGCTAGGCCTGTGGAAGGGGCCATCGCTGTCCAAATCGACCACCACCACATCCCACCGGCTCTTGCGTTGAGAGGTTACAGCCATGGCTAGGGGCGGAGGGCGATGAGGGGAGCATAGAGGCGGAGGGCGATGAGGGGAGCATAGAGGCGGAGGGCGATGAGGGGAGCATAGAGGCGGAGGGCGATGAGGGGAGCATAGAGGCGGAGGGAACGGAGGGATGCAGTTAGCAGAGACACACAGCGCCATGCGACCCGTTGCCCAACGCCAGGCCTGTGGTGGGACCATCAATGTCCGTGTCCTCCACCACCACATCTTGGAACTAGTGTTTTGAAGTAGTGATGGCCATGTTTTGAGTCGACTCCAAACTCGACTCATTACACAGGGACCATCACTTTCCATGTCCTCCACCGCCACATATTTGAAGTGGTGTTTTGAAGTGGTGTTTTGAAGTAGTGTTTTGAAGTAGTGTTTTGAAGTGGTGTTTTGAAGTGGTGTTTTGAAGTGGTGTTTTGAAGTGGTGTTTTGAAGTGGTGTTTTGAAGTGGTGTTTTGAAGTGGTGTTTTGAAGTGGTGTTTTGAAGTGGTGTTTTGAAGTAGTGTTTTGAAGTAGTGTTTTGAAGTGGTGTTTTGAAGTAGTGTTTTGAAGTAGAGTTTTGAAGTAGAGTTTTAAAGTAGTGTTTTGAAATAGTGTTTTGAAGTAGTGTTTTGAAGTAGTGTTTTGAAGTAGTGTTTTGAAGTAGTGTTTTGAAGTAGTGTTTTGAAGTAGTGTTTTGAAGTGGTGCTTTAAAGTTGTGTTTTGAAGAAGTGTTTTGAAGTCGTGTTTTGAAGTAGTGTTTTGAAGTAGAGTTATAAAGTAGTGTTTTGGAGTAGTGTTTTGAAGTAGTGATGGCCATCACGTCTTCAAACACATGGCCATCACTTTCCATGTCCTCCACCACCACATCCCACCGGCTCTGGTGGGGTCATCCCACCGGCTCTTGCGGGGGGCTGCCATGCCTGAGTGCAGGGAGGGGAGCGGAGAAGTGCAGCTGGCAAGAGATGCACAGCCATGCCTGGGGGATGCACAGCCATGCCTGGGGGATGCACAGCCATGCCTGGGGGATGCACAGCCATGCCTGGGGGATGCACAGCCATGCCTGGGGGATGCACAGCCATGCCTGGGGGATGCACAGCCATGCCTGGGGGATGCACAGCCATGCCTGGGGGATGCACAGCCATGCCTGGGGGATGCACAGCCATGCCTGGGGGATGCACAGCCATGCCTGGGGGATGCACAGCCATGCCTGGGGGATGCACAGCCATGCCTGGGGGATGCACAGCCATGCCTGGGGGATGCACAGCCATGCCTGGGGGATGCACAGCCATGCCTGGGGGATGCACAGCCATGCCTGGGGGATGCACAGCCATGCCTGGGGGATGGGGGGGAAAGGAAGGCACAGCAAGTCACAGGCAGGCGCACAGGCTGTGTGTGGCACTCAACCAACGTGCTGTCCTGTGCGGCAGAAGCAACACCAGCAGCACCAGCAACACCAGCAACAGGGGCAGCAGCAGAGAGACTTCCAGTCAAAGAACATGCCACACCACACCGCACACCACACACCGCACCGTGCTGCACCAGTATAAGGCTTCCACAACACAACGCACCGCACTGCACCGCACCACACTCACCAGTACCAGCAGCTGGGGCAGCAGGAGAGGTGACGTCGTGTCTGAGAGCCAAGGCAGCAGCAGAGACGCTGTCTGACAGATCCACCTTGAGGCCCAGACGAGCCATGCACGTGGCCAGGACCTGGTGGTGCGGAGGAAGCAGGGGTATAAGGAATTAGCTTGCTGTCAGCCAGTGCAGCAGCAGAGACGCTGTCTGGGAGATCCACCTTTAGACCCAGACGAGCCATGCACGTGGCCAGGATCTGGCAGTGTGGGAATTGGGGGGGGAGGAGGGAGGGGAAAGGGGGGAAGCAGGCTAGGGGTGTATGAGTGCTGAGCGCCAGGGCAGCAGCAGAGACGCTGTCTGACGGATCCTCCTTCAGGCCCAGACGAGCCATGCACGTGGCCAGGACCTGGTGGGGGGAAGGGGAAGGGAAGGAGAAGGGGGAGGGAGAAGAGTGGAAGTGGGGTTGAAAAGGGATGACTTCTGAACAACAGGGCAGCAGCGGAGAGACTGTGAGAGATCCCCGGTTAGACCAGGCGAGCCATGCACGTGGCAATCACCAGGCGAGCCATGCACGTGGCAATCACCAGGCGAGCCATGCACGTGGCAATCACCAGGCGAGCCATGCACGTGGCAATCACCAGGCGAGCCATGCACGTGGCAATCACCAGGCGAGCCATGCACGTGGCAATCACCAGGCGAGCCATGCACGTGGCAATCACCAGGCGAGCCATGCACGTGGCAATCACCAGGCGAGCCATGCACGTGGCAATCACCAGGCGAGCCATGCACGTGGCAATCACCAGGCGAGCCATGCACGTGGCAATCACCAGGCGAGCCATGCACGTGGCAATCACCAGGCGAGCCATGCACGTGGCAATCACCAGGCGAGCCATGCACGTGGCAATCACCAGGCGAGCCATGCACGTGGCAATCACCAGGCGAGCCATGCACGTGGCAATCACCAGGCGAGCCATGCACGTGGCAATCACCAGGCGAGCCATGCACGTGGCAATCACCAGGCGAGCCATGCACGTGGCACGGCACGGCAGCCCCCTCAGCTGTCCCCTCGGAGCCAGGCACGGCAGCCCCCTCAGCTGTCCCCTCGGAGCCAGGCACGGCAGCCCCCTCAGCTGTGCCCTCGGAGCCAGGCACGGCAGCCCCCTCAGCTGTGCCCTCGGAGCCAGGCACGGCAGCCCCCTCAGCTGTCCCCTCGGAGCCAGGCACGGCAGCCCCCTCAGCTGTGCCCTCGGAGCCAGGCACGGCAGCCCCCTCAGCTGTGCCCTCGGAGCCAGGCACGGCAGCCCCCTCAGCTGTGCCCTCGGAGCCAGGCTCTCTCCACCTGCTGCTTTCATCCACCCCATTCCGCTCCCTTCACTTCCCACCACACCAATACAGCCAGAACCCACCTGCTGCCTCACGGGTCGACCGTCCACTGCCAGGCATCTCAGCCCCCTCTGCTTGCCCCTCAAAGCCAGGCTCTCCGCCTGCTGCTGTTTCCCATCCCATTCCACTCTAAACATAGTGATGTAAAAGGATTATGCAGAACCCACCTGCTGCCTCACGGGTCGACCGTCCACTGCAAGGCATCTCAATCCCCTCAGCTTGCCTCTCAGCGCAAGGCTCTCTGCCTGCTGCTCGTCCGGGATTGGCCCGAAGCCCGCGTGGAAGACACGTGGCAGCGCGCTAGAGGCCGGGCCGGTGGGCGGCTGGGCGAGCGAGATGTCGAAAGTGAATGTTGAGCCGATTCCGGGGCGGCTGTAGACGAGCAGTTGGCCGTGCATGGCCTGCACTAGACTGGTGGGGGGGGAGGGAGGGGGGGGAGGCATGGGAGAGAACGTTGGGTGGCTGGGCGAGTGAGAGATCATAAACGGAGCCGATTCCGGGGCAAGGAGGGGGTTACAACGAGCAAGAGGCGGAAGGTGAATGTTGAGCCGATGCCAGGGCGGCTGTAGACGAGCAGTTGGCCGTGCATGGCCTGCACCAGACTGGAAGAGAAGGGGAATATGGAAAAAGGGAATGGCACAGGGGGCGAGAGGGGAGAGTGGGTGGCTGAGCAAGCGAGAGATCAAAAGTGAAGGTTGAGCCGATTCCGGGGCGGCTGTAGACGACCAGTTCGCCGTGCATGGCTTGCACCAGACTGGATAAGGAAGGGGAGGAGGGAGGGGGGGGGGGGGAGGGAAAGGAGAGAGAAGGGAGGGGAGAGGGGGGAGAGAAAGGAGCGAGAAGGGGGGGAGAGAAAGGAGCAAGAAGAGGGGGGAGAGAAAGGAGCGAGAAGGGGGGGGAGGGTGGGGGAATGGGGCGTATAGATTTGACAGAGGGAGCAAATGAGAGATAACGTGAAAGGCGAAGCTGATTCCGGCGCGGGCAGCTGTAGATGAGCAAACGGCTGCCTCTCGCCCACCACTCCCCACCACTCCCCACCCCTCCCCAGGACCTCCCCACCGTTCTTTTGAGGCGTCTTAATGAGAGCAATCACACACACATGCGAAGGAGGGAACCCGCATACTTTTGAGAAACATTCAGCAGCAGCGGCACAGCGCCAAAGCGCTGCTGCTGCAGCGGGAGGGAGAGCGGTTGGTATTTGAGAGCTCTCGAAAAACAACAGGCTTACTTCTGAGCGACGTTCAGCAGCAGAGGGACGGCGGCGAAGCGCTGCTGCAGCGGCAGGGAGAGCGGTTGAAAGGGCTTTTCGAGAGCGTCAAACACAGCGTCTGGCAGCCCCACCCCCGTGTCCTCCAACGTACACATCAGCCTCACACCCCCTCGCACACCACCACTCCCCACCGCTCCCGACCCCCCTCCCCCTCCTCCCCCTCCTCCCCTTCCACCTCCTCCGCACCCTCCGCCCCTCTCCCCTCCCCCACCAACCCCCCCTCCGCCCGCCCTCCCCCCATCCCCACCACCCCCCTGCTGCTGCTGCGGCCCCATGAGGCGCCGGAATCGAGCCTCCTGCTCGCGGATCATGCGGCAGATGCTCTCCCAGCTGTTGCTGCCGTCCGCTGCTGCCCTCCCACTCAGCGTCAGGCTCTCCCCCTTGGCTTGGCTTGCACGGCCTCGGGCGATGCGCTCTGCTTCCACTGCCTGCGCCTCCCTGCTGGGGGCTGGGAGGGAGGTGGGCGAGGGAGGCGGGGAAATGGGAGTGTGGGGGAGGGAGCGGGAGCGCGAGGGGGGGAGGAGGGGGAGGGGGAGAGGGAGGAGGAGGGGGAGGGAGGGGCCCGCTCAGCGTGAGGCTCTCCCCCTTCGCCTGGTTCGCCTGCCCTTGGGTGATGCGCTCTGCTTCTACTGCCTGGGCTTCACAGCTGGGGATGGGGGAGGGGAGGCGAGGGAGAGGGGAAAGGGAGGGGAAGTTAGGGGACCTGCCATGCCGTGCACCTCATCAGGTCATCATCAGGAGTCATGTGTCATGAGCACATGTGACATGGCACACCAGCGTATGTTTTTTGAGAATTCTCAAATGGCATGGCACACAAGGTCAGGAGGCAAGAGAAGATGTGTGACATCTCATGTGAGCCTGCGCCTGGCTCGCCATGCGGTGAACACGAGAGGCACGCGCAGCGCAGCGCAGCGCTGCGGGAAAGAGTTGGGATCTGCCATGCGCCTCGTTTCATCATCATCCGAAGAGAGACAGGCGCAGCACCAGAAAAGAGCACAAGCGAGGAGGCACACACACGAGCGAGGAGGCACACACACGAGCGAGGAGGCGCACACACGAGCGAGGAGGCACACACACGAGCGAGGAGGCACACACACGAGCGAGGAGGCACACACACGAGCGAGGAGGCACACACACGAGCGAGGAGGCACACACACGAGCGAGGAGGCACACACACGAGCGAGGAGGCACACACACGAGCGAGGAGGCACACACACGAGCGAGGAGGCACACACACGAGCGCATGCTTGCAAGTTGCCACCACCAGTTACCAATTACCCCACCTTCCATGTCGTCGGGCGAGTTGGGATCCGCCATGCGTCGCATCTCATCATCATCCGGCGCCAGGCGCACCACCAGGAACACGTGCCCGCGGTCGGTGAGCCGCACCGCCACTGCCATTAGATTCGCGAGGATCTGATAAAGGGGGGGGGGTTGCGGTTGGTTTTGAGAGAGTGGAATGGGAAGAGTGAGAGGGCGATGGAGAGGGCCAGGCGCACCACCAGGAACACGTGGCCGCGGTCGGTTAGCCGCACCGCCACTGCCATTAGATTCGCGAGGATCTGATGGTGAGGGGAAGAGAGAGGAGAGTGAGGGATGGGGAGATTGAGAGGGCGAGGAGGGAGTGGAAGATGGAGAGGAATGAAGAGGGCAGCACCAGGAACACGTGGTCACGGTCGGTGAGCTGCACTGCCACTGCCATTAGATTCGCGAGGATCTGATAAAGGGGGGAAAGAGGGGGGTGGGTGGATTGAGAGGGTAAGGAGGGAGTGGAGGGTGAGAAAGGTGGAGAGGGATGGAGGGAGAGGAATGAAGAGGGCACCACCAGGAACACGTGGCCGCGGTCGGTTAGTCGCACCGCCACTGCCATTAGATTCGCGACGATCTGACGATGGATGGGGAGAGAGGGTTGGGGCGATTGAGAAGGTTGGGGAAATTGAGAGGATTGGGGCAATTGAGAGGGTTGGGGCGATAGAGAGGGTTGGGGAGAGAGTGGGTTGGGGAGAGAGTGGGTTGGGGAGAGAGTGGGTTGGGGAGAGAGTGGGTTGGGGAGAGAGTGGGTTGGGGAGAGAGTGGGTTGGGGAGAGAGTGGGTTGGGGAGAGAGTGGGTTGGGGAGAGAGTGGGTTGGGGAGAGAGGAAGAGAATGAGAGGGTAGGGAGGGAATCCCACAGGAGCAAAAAGCAAACCCACGTGTGCCACAGGAGCAAAAAGCAAACCCACGTGTGCCACAGGAGCAAAAACCAAACCCACGTGTGCCACACAACACCCACCAAATAACCACTCCCATCTCACCAGTCGCAGCCTGAGGGGGTCCCCAACCCAACGACCACAGTAGGCACGGAGTCCATGAGCAGCGGCGCCACCAGCTGAGGAGAGGCAGGTGAGTGAGAGGAGGGCCGTGAACAGCAACCCACCCGCCCACCCACCCACCCACCCGCCCTCCCGCCCGCCCGCCCGCCCGCCCGCCCGCCCACCCACCCACCCACCCACCCACCTGGCGCAGCCTGAGCGGGTCCCCCACGACCACAGTGGGAACTGAGTCCATGACAAGAGCAGCCAGCTCAACGCCCTTCTCCCGTGCCTCGCCTGCCACGAGCAGCACCACTTCATCCACCACACACCGCAGGTCAAACACCGCACTCTCTAACCCCAGCCGCACCACGCTCCCCCTCTCCACCGCCCCGGCCCTGCCTCCCCACGCGCCTCCTCTGCCTGTCCCCCCTCCTCCCCCCCCGCCTCCTCCTCCCTCTCCTCCCCCTCCCCCTCCCCCTCGTTCCCCACGGAAGATTGCAGCGGCGGCGGACGATGCGGCGGCGGACGAGGCGGCGGCGATCCGACGGTTCTCGATGCGCCAGCTGTCGACGACGTTGTTGGCGACGTGGATGATGTGGCGCGACGTGGCCTGCACGGCTGCCAGCATGTCGCGCTGCGATTCGTCGAGGGAGGAGGAGAGCAGCAGCTGCAGCAGACCCAGTACGCCTGGAGAGTGGGAGAGCGAGAGTGTGAAAGCGAGTGTGTGTGTGAGAGAGAGAGAGAGAGATGTGTGTGGGTGGGGGAGAGGGGGGGGGGGGGGGGATGAGGTCAGAGAGAAAGGGGGGGAGAGAAGGAAACGAAGGAGAGATAAGGAGATGACAAGCCACGTCACCACGGGCAATAACAGGGCCTTGGGCGCGGATAGTTGGGAAGAGATGGGTGGTTGGTGTGGGGAGGGCGGAAGGGGGAGGAGAGAAGAGGCTTGACGAGCTGGTGGGGAGAGAAGCAAGAGAAGACCCTTCAACAGGGCAGCAAGTTTGATCTGATCTGATATGTGGCTAGTGCCTTCTCTCAATTGTATTCTTAAATGACGCCAAAAAACGCCGCCCTTAGCGCCTCTAAGTGCGCCTCTAAAAGCCGCTCTCACTTAGTTACTTACCTCTAAGCGGCGCTCTTATCTCATGCACCAGAATCCCCAACAGAGAGCTCCGCCCCACCGATACCGCCAGCTTGCTGCCAGCTGTCACCACCGCCCTTCCGTCCGAACCTCCCTCCGAACCTCCTTCCGAACCTGACATCCCTCCAAACCCCCCCGCACCCCTCCCCCGTCCGCTTCCGCCTTCTTCCCCCTCCGCCCCGCCTTCCCCCAGCCTTCCCCCGCGCCCGCCCCCTCCCCCTTCTAATGCGCGGAGGCGTTCCTCCAGCGCGCCGAGTTCCGCCAATCCGCTTCCCAATGCGCGCAGCGCGCAAATCATGAACCCTAGCACGGCCGCCGCCGCCGCTAGCGGGGACCACCGCCACGTCAGCACGTCCACGGCTGGGTGCCACGGGACAGGACACGTGGCATTAGTCCATCGCGTCGCGTTCGCCGGCTGGCTCCCGCCAGCAGCGCCGGAAACAGCGGAGGCATCGACGGAAGTCGTCTCAAAATCTTCCGCATTGGCGGAAGACGGAAATTTGCACGGGGTGAGGGGGTCCTCATGCGCGGGGAGGGTTGCGCGGAGAACACTAAATGCGAGAATCACCGCGACCAGATACGAGCCAGACAGAGCAAGCCACGTCAACCAAGGCAGCCGCACCGCGCTGGGGAGAGAATTCTTGCCACGTGTCGTTAATGTCGCTGTATCACTGGCGTCTGGCCCGCGCTTCCCATTGGACGGTTCCTCGTCTCGGACCACTCTCGCGCGCTGTTTATTCCCTTTATCCCCGTCTACTATTTCGTTCCCGTTACTCCCGTCGTCACTTCCGCCGTCGCTTCCGCTGTCGTCCGCGTCACTCTCCGCATCGCGACTCGCCTCCGTCTCGCCCTCGCTGCTTTCCGCCGATTCTTCCGCCTCCTCCACGCGCCTTTCCGCAGGCGCCTTTCGCCCCCGCCACATGCTGCCAATGCGCGCGGAAAGGACTGTTTATCGCGCGCCAGACACCGCGTCGGCTATGAGAAAAATAGGGTTACGGCGGGAATGTCTCCACTACAGTATGGCGTTGAACTGGTGACTGGAGCAGTTAGGCAGGCTCTCACCGGCTGGATTGACGGCTAGGCGGCAGCAGTCACAACAGGGCGGTAGGTGGTCATTCCTGACGACTCCAGATTATCGGCCCTTACCAAATTTCCCCCATCTTCGAACTACACCACACTACACCTTATAATTTCACTTTATAACCCATCTACTTACTGGTTAAAACCTTCTTTCCAAAGTGTAATTTCGAATCATTTTAAAAGCTCAACAATATTCTTGTTTATTATATGTTCTTTGGAAAGCCAATATTACGGTATGACCTTAAGCTTCTTGATGTTCTCTTCTTATGTTCTTCCTGCTCTTTTCATGACCAATTTCGCACAACTTATCAAAAACCATAGTGATCAATATAATACTGCATTATAAAATCCTTTTATTACACAAACCCCCCGCACCGAAGTACGTTGCCTTCCCCCAACCGCCTCAACCAAGTCACTATGATCCACCATACTACTCCATCCATCCCCTCCTCCCTTCTAACTCCATCCAAAGCTCCTCTTGCCCATCTTGATAACATAGGGCAGAACCATTTCTCCACCTCAGCGCACCACCAAAACCGGCGCTCTAGAAGCACCCCTGGTCATTGGGAGTCCCGGCGTTCATGCACACACCATACCTCTTAGGGTTGATGGCAGCATCAATAATGCGCTGCCAGTACATCTGCCCGGGGATAGTGCCATCAGCCTGGGGGTTGCGGTAGGTGGGCCAGTGGCGGTTGAAGAAGCACTGCTGCGCGCGGCAGTAGGGGCACCCGGGGCAGGTGGCATCCTCAGTGCAGTTAAAGCCCAAGTAAGGGTCAGGCTGGGTGAAACGGCACGTCTCTGGTGAGGGGAGGAGGGGGGAAAGAGGGGACGTGAAGGGAAGAGAGGGGAAGAGAGGGGAGGAGATGAGGATGGGAAGTGACAGAAGACTGCTCTGCTACATGAAGTAAGCTTACGTTGGGAAGGATGGGGAGGAAGTAAAAGGGTGGGGGCAGAGCGAGAATAAATCGGTGGACGAGAAAAGGCGTGCCAGAGTGTGCTAACGGTGTGAAGAAGGCTTGAAGTGTGTGCAAACAGTGCGAGTAGTGGAGTGAGAATACTGTGCAAAAAGTGTGAGTACGTACTGAAGCCAGTGGCCCAGTCATCGACGCCCGGCCACTGCAGGTTGTTGTTGACGTACGTGTACCACTTGCCGTTGGGCTTCTTCACAGCAAGCCCGTACACCGGGTGGTACCTGCACGCACCAGAAAGCACCGCACCACACCGCATAGCACGGCTCAGCACAGCCCGCATGGGAACCAGCAGCGCATAGCATCCAAGGTAGAATTGAACAACGAAAAGTCGAACTTTAGGAACAATATGATCAATATCACTTGACAAATACTCACCGGGGCTTCTTGTAAGGGTAGGAGGCGTATCCGGGATCAGTGGCGAGCATGTTGGTCCAGTTCGCCACTTCCTCCGGCGCATCTGTCGGCAGACTCGTATCCTCCAGGGTAGACGAGTATGCGACGGCGCGCGCGTCGATCTGATCCAGCGCCGCGCCGATATCCGCGGGATCCATGAACTGATTCAGCGCCACATACGGTGGAGGCGCCGGCTGGGTGATCGGATCGAGAACCGCGGGGTACGTGTCGTTGACGTTCGGGTCGATGGTCGCGGCGATCGCGGCGGCGTCCATAGACGCGTTGGTTGCGGGCCACGGGGACGGGATGGTCTCCATTGCAACGATGCCGGACGAGTCTTCCTCTGGCGCGGGCGCGGGCGCAGGCGCGGGGGTCGTGAGAATTCGACCGCGGAAGGCGGAAGCAGGGGACGGGAGGGACGCGGCGGAGAGGAGGACCAGCGCGAGGAGCGCGCCGGGCAGCGCGCAGAAGCGGGAGGTCGCCATGGTTGAGTCGAAACGCCTCGCGGATGGAGAAGCTTCAAAAGGAAGGTTGGAATGAAAGGTTAGAATGGAAGGTTGGAATCGAAGCTCGAGAGGGAAAGCTCGAGACTGAAGCTCGAGTTTTGAGGCTTGAGAAGCTCTCAAGCTCGCTGAAGGATCGATGGCTGCTGATGAGAATTAGCTAGCACGACTGGGCTTTTGTAGTTAGCAACGGGGTGGTGGACAGCCCCGAATTTGCCCGAGTACAGCGGGATGCGTGAGAGAACGTGTGTGAGGGGAATCGTTGCGGTCACGGTGTTCGTCCAACAGGGAATCGGATCGCGTCACGACTCGCGAAGCAGTTGTTGCAAGGCAACGCGATGCGATACCTGATGCATGCGACGGGACGAGACTAGGCTGGTTGTTGGGAGGGAACGAGAAGAGAGAAGGGCGAGACATGTTTTCCCAAAGGCGACGCAGAGAAAGGCAAGTCTGGACGACGGTGGGATGAGATGAGATGACAGTTGCGCATTGCGGTGCTGTGCTGACTGGCAGCAGAAATGTTTCTTTGCTGCTAGGGATGGGATGGGATGGGATGGGATGGGACTCGTTATCCTGATGCTTTGGCATTTGTTTCCCTGCTGCTTTTCTCTTGTGCTTCACGACGCGCGCTGGACAGTTTGAAGATGAACCGGCGGAGATGTACGGTTGGAGGTGATTCGCGAAAGAATCGAAGGCGAGCAGATGGACGACAGCGGGTTGGTTATAACGAAGAGAATGGCGGGCAATGAGTCTTCGCGAAACAGCGGAGATGAATCGACGAATATGAACCGGCGCAGACGAATAATCACCAACTCTTGAGTGGCATGACAAGCATGCGTTGTACACATTGTGCCCGCAAATGGCGGAGGAGAAGACCAAACGACACGAACGCGTTACTCGGGTGCCGCATTCTGCGCTGACGAGGTGTTGTCCTCACTACACTGTATCTACATTCACGAACTAAATCGAGAACCTACGGTACCAGTACCTATGTCTAAGCTTGCTTTACCTAATGTGACATGCAAGAACATTTTCCAATTTATATATAATTTGTGACCAAGAAATACCGTACCATCACAAGGCAACTGGTGGGTTAGGCATCAACCCCCTCACACATCCTGCTTGACTAACACTACGCAAAAGCTACGCATGCTGGCATCCGTGCAATTGGATGGAAGGAACCCAAACATAGCCACCACTCAGTACAAAAATTCCACTTTAGGACTGTTCTCATGTGTACTGCTGAAGGTCAGCTCAACCCTCGTTTGTTAATCAATTTAATCACTGCACGGTTGTCCATAAAGAGCACTCTGTAACTGTTAATGATGCTGCGAGAGGCGTGCGGCAAACAAGCCAGGAAACATGTTTCCATCTACCCAGTAGGTTCAAAACGGATTGTTTTTCCAGGGACGGGGCCTTCTGTAAGTAAACATGAACCGTCATTAGCCTTCTGCCAGAAAAGGATCTTCTTTGAACGAGGCGAAGGGGGGCCAGTCAAGAGCAGTGCGAGCGATGGCCCCATCCTCGTGGATGCGAGCTATGAGCGCGGGGAGCGAGGGAAAGTCGGCCTGCAGGGTTAAGGTGCAGCAGCAGAGAATGGGGTGGTCAAAGGGGAGAACAGCGTGAGTCAAGAGCAGTGCAAGCGATGGTCCCATCCTCGTGGACGCGAGCGATGAGGGCGAGGAGCAAGGGGAAGTCGGCCTGCAGGGTTAAGGTGCATCAGCAGAGAATGGGGTGGTCAAAGGGGAGAACAGCGTGAGTCAAGAGCAGTGCGAGCGATGGCCCCATCCTCGTGGACGCGAGCTATGAGCGCGGGGAGCGAGGGGAAGTCGGCCTGGAACGAGAGGTTGCGGGATCGAAGAAGGGAACAGGGAGCAATTCAGAATATGAGCCCTACCAACAACCCCACCCATCCTCATGGATGCGAGCGATGAGTGCGGGGAGTGAGGGGAAGTCGGCCTGTGCTGTGTTGGAAGGTGCAGCGAGAAAGGGCGGTCAAAGGGGAGCATGCGATATAGGCTATCTTTGAGGATGCGAGTGGTGAGCGGGGGGAGCGAGGGGAAGTCGACCTGTAGAGGGAAGGTGCGAAACCAGAGAAAGGGGTGGAAAAGCAGGGGTAGGGGGGATCTAGGAGGGAGGGTGAGGGAGGTTGAGGAAGTAGAGCGATGTGAGGGTGAGGAAGGAGGGCGAGGTGAAAAGGGTAAGAAATGAGTGTGAGAAAAGGGGTGGGGAAGGATGGAACATAACACATTTTCCTAAGCGCCTTACGAAGCACTCAAATGCTGCTCTAAATGATGCAACACATAGGCCCAGTGAGCCTGAAGGATGGTCAGCTCACCTCAAGGCGGATATTTTCAACCATCACCTCACCTCAGGGCGGATATATCCAACCACCACCAGCCTGAGCTCCTCGTCGTAAAAGTCCTCCCCGAAATCATGCAGCAGCCATGGCTCCTGGGAATGAGCGGCAGGAGAAAGAAGGTAGATTGGGGCGGTTACACATTGCCTGATGGTTACACATTGCCTGATGGTTACACATTGCCCACCATCATGCAGGAGGCATGGCTCATGGGAATGGAAGCGGCGGGGATGGGTGGGGAAGGGGGAGAAACGGGTATACATGAACACATGTGCGCATACACATGCGCACACACACACGCACACGCACACGCACAGATACACGCACACGCACAGACACACACACACGCACCCACACGCACACGCTCGCGCCCGCGCACAGGCGCGCGCGCACACACACACACACACACACAAAACACACACCACTGTATTGTGTGTATTGTTGAAAGGATTCCACCCCACACTCATGCACACACCTATACATGCACACACCTGTACATGCACACACCTATACAAGCACACACACAGACTCACCACTGCCTTGTGCGTGTTGTTGAAGAAAGGGTTCCAGCTCTCACTTGCCACCACCTTGAACACTCCCACACACTCATGCACTTGCACACACCCTACACATGCACACACCCATACACATGCATGCACGAACGCATACAAGCGCACTCACTTCGGTGTTTTGTGCGTTGTTAAAGAAGCGGTTCCAGCCCACGCTCATAACGATCTTGAACACTCCCACACACACACCCGCACACATACCTCACATGCACACACACCCATACACATGCACACACACCCATACACATGCACACACACCCATACACATGCACACACACCCATACACATGCACACACACCCATACACATGCACACACACCCACGTACATGCACCAACCTCAGTCTTGTTTGTGATGTTAACGAAGCGGTTCCACCCCACACTCATCACCATCTTGAACACGCCCACTACACACCCCCACACACACATGCACATACCCAGACACACACACACAGGCACACACCCGTGCACACACCCACTCATTTGCACACAGACCAGCACATTGACACGCACTCACCACGGTCTTATGTGTGTTGTTGAAGAAAGGGTTCCAGCCCACACTCATGACCATCTTGAACACTCCCCCACATTCATGCACGTGCACTCACATGCACAAGCACTCGCACACTCACCACAGTCTTATGTGTGTTGTTGAAGAAAGGGTTCCAGCCCACACTCATGACCATCTTGAACACGCCCCTGCCCTTCAGCCCTGCCCACCCGTGGTAGATGCCACACACGTGCTCTGCTAGATGCCCTGTGAATGATGAGGCTGGGAGGTTGGCTGGAACAGAGAGATGGGGATGGAAGGATAATGGAGGATTTGAGTTCATTACACACCGTCCGCCCGTGGTAGATGCCACACACGTGTTCTGCTAGATGGCCCGTGAAGCCAGATGCTGGGAGATTGGCTGGAACAGAGAGATGGGGATGGAAGGACAATGGAGGACTTAAGTTCATTACACGCCGTCCGCCCATGGTACATGCCATGCCACACACGTGCTCTCAGAAAACTAGTTCTGAGACATCTAGAAAAGCACGTATTGAGACGTCTTTATGAGCAAGCTTTGAGACGTCTGAAAAAACATTGCCAGACAGGAGACAGGAGCCTGGCAGGCCAGGGGGTTGGATGAGAGGGAGTGAGTGAGAGAATAGAGAGTGAGTGAGTGGGGGAATCAGCGGGGAGAGAGGAAGATGTGGGGTTTTGAGGCGCCTCAAAACAAGCGGGGAGAGAGGAAGATGTGGGGTTTTGAGGCGCCTCAAAATAGGCGGGGAGAGAGGAAGATGTGGGGTTTTGAGGCGCCTCAAAATAGGCGGGGAGAGAGGAAGATGTGGGGTTTTGAGGCGCCTCAAAATAGGCGGGGAGAGAGGAAGATGTGGGGTTTTGAGGCGCCTCAAAATAGGCGGGGAGAGAGGAAGATGTGGGGGTGACTACCTGTGGGAATGCCGAGGACCTTTGAGCCGCCCCCAACTCACTTGAAAACTGGGGCCTTAGGGTGTTATTGATAGCTTTCAACACACCCTAAACACCCACCTGTGGGAATGCGGAGGACCTTTGAGCCGCCCCCAACTCACTTGAAAACTGGGGCCTTAGGGTGTTATTGATAGCTTTCAACACACCCTAAACACTCACCTGTGGGAATGCCGAGGACCTTTGAGCCGCCCCCAACTCACTTGAAAACTGGGGCCTTAGGGTGTTATTGATAGCTTTCAACACACCCTAAACACCCACCTGTGGGAATGCGGAGGACCTTTGAGCCGCCCCCAACTCACTTGAAAACTGGGGCCTTAGGGTGTTATTGATAGCTTTCAACACACCCTAAACACTCACCTGTGGGAATGCCGAGGACCTTTGAGCCGCCCCCAACTCACTTGAAAACTGGGGCCTTAGGGTGTTATTGATAGCTTTCAACACACCCTAAACACTCACCTGTGGGAATGCCGAGGACCTTTGAGCCGCCCCCAACTCACTTGAAAACTGGGGCCTTAGGGTGTTATTGATAGCTTTCAACACACCCTAAACACCCACCTGTGGGAATGCGGAGGACCTTTGAGCCGCCCCCAACTCACTTGAAAACTGGGGCCTTAGGGTGTTATTGATAGCTTTCAACACACCCTAAACACTCACCTGTGGGAATGCGGAGGACCTTTGAGCCGCCCCCAACTCACTTGAAAACTGGGGCCTTAGGGTGTTATTGATAGCTTTCAACACACCCTAAACACCCACCTGTGGGAATGCGGAGGACCTTTGAGCCGCCCCCAACTCACTTGAAAACTGGGGCCTTAGGGTGTTATTGATAGCTTTCAACACACCCTAAACACTCACCTGTGGGAATGCCGAGGACCTTTGAGCCGCCCCCAACTCACTTGAAAACTGGGGCCTTAGGGTGTTATTGATAGCTTTCAACACACCCTAAACACTCACCTGTGGGAATGCCGAGGACCTTTGAGCCGCGCCCAAATCCCTTGATGACCGGGCCTTTGATGTACCAGGGAGGGATGGGGAGAGAGCGGTGCAGCCCTGAGAGCAAGAGAGGAGAGGGAGGATGAGGAGAGGGGAGGAGAGAGAGGATATAATGAGGAACAGCCTTTAATGACCGCGCCTTTGATGTACCAGGGAGGGATGGGGAGAGAGCGGTGCAGCCCTGAGAGCAAGAGAGGAGAGGGAGGAAGAGGAGAGGGGAGGAGAGAGAGGATATAATGAGGAACAGCCTTTAATGACCGCGCCTTTGATGTACCAGGGAGGGATGGGGAGAGAGCGGTGCAGCTCTGAGAGAAAGAGAGGAGAGGGAGGAAGAGGAGAGGGGAGGAGAGAGAGGATATAATGAGGAACAGCCTTAAATGACCGCGCCTTTGATGTACCAGGGAGGGATGGGGAGAGAGCGGTGCAGCCCTGAGAGCAAGAGAGGAGAGGGAGGAAGAGGAGAGGGGAGGAGAGAGAGGATATAATGAGGAACAGCCTTTAATGACCGCGCCTTTGATGTACCAGGGAGGGATGGGGAGAGAGCGGTGCAGCCCTGAGAGCAAGAGAGGAGAGGGAGGAAGAGGAGAGGGGAGGAGAGAGAGGATATAATGAGGAACAGCCTTAAATGACCGCGCCTTTGATGTACCAGGGAGGGATGGGGAGAGAGCGGTGCAGCCCTGAGAGCAAGAGAGGAGAGGGAGGAAGAGGAGAGGGGAGGAGAGAGAGGATATAATGAGGAACAGCCTTTAATGACCGCGCCTTTGATGTACCAGGGAGGGATGGGGAGAGAGCGGTGCAGCCCTGAGAGCAAGAGAGGAGAGGGAGGAAGAGGAGAGGGGAGGAGAGAGAGGATATAATGAGGAACAGCCTTAAATGACCGCGCCTTTGATGTACCAGGGAGGGATGGGGAGAGAGCGGTGCAGCCCTGAGAGCAAGAGAGGAGAGGGAGGAAGAGGAGAGGGGAGGAGAGAGAGGATATAATGAGGAACAGCCTTAAATGACCGCGCCTTTGATGTACCAGGGAGGGATGGGGAGAGAGCGGTGCAGCCCTGGGAGCAAGAGAGGAGAGGGAAATGGAGAGACAGAGAGAGGATACAATGAGGCACAGTCTTTGGTGACCGAAGAGAAAAGAAGAGACGAAGGGAAAGAGAGGGCTTACAATCAGAGAAGGAAGGGAGGCCCCAGTGCTGCGGTTGGAAGTCCAGCAGAGAGGGCAACAGCTGGTGGGCGGCGGAGTAGAGTGGCCGGGCGGCCTTATTCGGTAGGGAAGGCACCGCAAGTGCCCACATGCCTGCTGCCACAGCGGCCTCAACCCCTGCTCTGGTGGGAACGAGGGGCAGAAGGGTTAGGGAAGAGAGGAGAGAGAATTGAACCTTGAGTCTTGAACCTCAGACCTTCACCTGCAAGCCCAACCCTGCACAGGCTCAGTAAGTTGGTGTGAGGGGAGTTTGGTGAGACAGCGAGCAACACAAGGGAAGGAGGGAGGGGTAAGAGGGGGAAGGCATACAAGGCATGGTCAAGAACGAGGGAGAGAGTGGGAGAGGCGAAGGGTGTGAGTGAGGAAAGAGGGGTGTGAGTGAGGAAAGAGGGGTGTGAGTGAGGAAAGAGGGGTGTGAGTGAGGAAAGAGGGGTGTGAGTGAGGAAAGAGGGGTGTGAGTGAGGAAAGAGGGGTGTGAGTGAGGAAAGAGGGGTGTGCGTGAGGAAAGAGGGGTGTGAGTGAGGAAAGAGGGGTGTGAGTGAGGAAAGAGGGGTGTGCGTGAGGAAAGAGGGGTGTGAGTGAGGAAAGAGGGGTGTGCGTGAGGAAAGAGGGGTGTGAGTGGGGAAGAGATGGGAGCACTCAGAGAGTGGTAAGACGAAAAGGTAAGGTTGCCTACGAGGCATGTTCCACAATGAGGCAGTGAACGGGAGAAGAAAAATGTGCCAAGCGAGACAGAGTGACGCAGGGAGAGGAGGAGGGAGAGGAGGAGGGAGAGGCATTGAGGCGTGAGGCGGAGTAGTAGCCTACGGGGCATCTTCCACAACGAGGCAGTGCGCGGGAGAGGCGAGGCGAGGGATGTGAGTGAGGGAAGCAATGCGCGCAGTGCAAAGACTGACAAGAGGGGCGAGAGGCGGAGTAGTAGCCTACGGGGCATCTTCCACAACGAGGCAGTGCGCGGGAGAGGCACCCATCAGTCCAGCTGCACGAAGGAATCTGAACGAGAAGAAAGGTAGAAACAGGGAGGAGAGTTTACGCCTTTGCTCAGAGGAATCTGAAACCGAAAAGGGGGCGGAAGGCATCATGGCCATGGGACGAGCAAGAAGGCCGACAGCAAATAATGTGTATCGAAGTTGAGGCGTGCAAGAATTCAATGCACGTGAAAGGTGGATTGGCTTATGAACGTCACACACACAGACAAACACACACAGACAAACACACACAGACAAACACACACAGACAAACACACACAGACAAACACACACAGACAAACACACACAGACAAACACACACAGACAAACACACACAGACAAACACACACAGACAAACACACACAGACAACACACACAGACAAACACACACAGACAAACACACACAGACAAACACACACAGACAAACACACACAGACAAACACACACAGACAAACACACACAGACAAACACACACAGACAAACACACACAGACAAACACACACAGACAAACACACACAGACAAACACACACAGACAAACACACACAGACAAACACACACAGACAAACACACACAGACAAACACACACAGACAAACACACACAGACAAACACACACAGACAAACACACACAGACAAACACTCACAGACAAACACACACAGACAAACACACACAGACAAACACACACAGACAAACACACACAGACAAACACACACAGACAAACACACACAGACAAACACACACAGACAAACACACACAGACAAACACACACAGACAAACACACACAGACAAACACACACAGACAAACACACACAGACAAACACACACAGACAAACACACACAGACAAACACACACAGACAAACACACACAGTCAAACACTCACAGACAAACACTCACAGACAAACACTCACATGTCAGGGCGTGGTTTGCCGTGCTCCACCTCATCCCCTCCCACCAGCACTTGCAGCATGTCCGTCCATCCTGGTCGTTGCAAGGGGAAGGGCAGAGCGGTGCGGTTACATGGGGGATGGGAGCTTGCATGCAACTGGCTGGCATGCAGCATGCTGTGAGATGCTGCTGCTGCACCCTGCAACAAAGCTTGCCCAGAAGTTTCCACTGAGTGGCATGGCGGCAGCAGCAGCAGGAGCAGGCTGCAACCTGAGAATTACTTGGGACTTTTGAGACGTCTCAAAACTCAACCTGAGACTTACTCGGGACTTTTCTGAATTTCCCAGAGAATTTGCACACGACCTGCGTGGAAGGAGAGCTTGATGTTGACGTTGCGTCGGGGCGAGCTGGAAGCTACGGCCATGGGGATGCCGCACGCCTGCAGGTGCTGCATCAGACGGTGGGCTCCTGGGAGGGGCTTGGCCTGGCTCCACCTGAACACACGGGAGAGGGGAAAAGGCATAAGAGACAGCCCCATGCACCGTGGCAGGGCAAGAACGTGTCCCACGCATGCACCCCTGCAAGAAGTTGTCCCATGCACTGTGGCGAGAAACCTGTCCCATGCACCCCAGCCCCACCCACCCACCCACCCACTCGCTCCCTCTAGCCCCCATCCATCCATCCATCTCTCTCCCTCACTGACCATTCCCCACGCCCACACACTCCCCGGACTCACCTCACCTCTCTTCCACCAGCACGTGGCTCTGCTCTTGCAACTCGTCCGCACTGCAAACACTGCAAGGCAACCCGTATCGCTGCACCGTGGCGTTGAGCGCCTCCCATGCCGTTTCACTCCCCTCCCCATTCCCCATGCATCCCACCCATCCATCCCCTCGACTCACCTCTCCTCCACCAGCACGTGGCTCTGCTCTAGCAACTCCTCCGGGGTACATGGCAGTCCGTATCGCTGCACCGTGGCATGAACCATCCCCCATGCACCTTACTCCCTGCCCACCCTATCTCCCACCCCCTCGACTAACCTCTCCTCCACCAGCACGTGGCTCTGCGCTAGCAGTTCCTCCGGAGTGCAAGGCAGCCCGTATCGCTGCACCGTGGCATGAGCGCCATCAATCGGCCACTTGCCAATGCACCCGTTTCCCCACGTGCAGCCCATTCATCCCTTGGACTCACCTCTCTTCCACCAGCACGTGGCTCTGCGCTAGCAACTCCTCCGGAGTGCAAGGCAGCCCGTATCGCTGCACCGTGGCACGAGCGCCATCAATCGGCCACTTGCCAATGCACCCGTTTCCCCACGTGCAGCCCATTCATCCCTCAGACTCACCTCTCTTCCACCAGCACGTGGCTCTGCGCTAGCAACTCCTCCGGAGTACAAGGCAGCCCGTATCGCTGCACCGTGGCACGAGCGCCGTCGATTGGCCGCTTGCCGATACGATCCTCTGCGCCCTCGCCCGTCCATGTCTTGCCGTACCGTTCCACCAGTATCCTTGCCACTTCCGTCACCGCACTCTCTGGTGTGAAGGAGGCGGGTGAGAGGGAGGAAGGGGAAACGAGCGCCCAATCAAGCCACCAGCCTGTTGATATGCGCCTCTGCTCCCTCGCCCGTCCACGTCTTGCCGTACCGTTCTACCAGTATCCTCGCTAACTATGTCACCGTGCTCTCTGTCTGGGGGGGGGTATTTGAGGGTTGCGTGGGGTTAGGTTCACGAAAGGAGTGTGAGAGGAGGGAGGGAGGGAGTAACAAGGGCAGCCAATCACTTCAACCACCTCCCTTCGCCAATCCACGCTTTGCCATACCGCTCCACCCGAACCCTTGCCACCCCGACACCGAACTTTCAGGTGTGAATGGGAAGACGGTGAGAAGGGGTGGGTGAGAAGAGGGAGGCTGACGTGGCAAAGAGCAACCTCGCCACCTCCGTACTTCAAGTAAACGGGTAGGAAATCTCCGTACTTTTAGCCGGATACGCTGACGGCTTCTAGTTTATCTGATGCTGGATGATGCGTATCAGCGCGGGTGAATCGCCTGCAGTATGGCATTCTCGAGGCCTGGGTTGACGGGGTGGAGAGGCTGAAAGCTGACCGGTCCGGCGGGCCCGTCAGTGTCATGAACCGACGGGTCCCGTCAGTGTCATGAACCGACGGGTCCCATCAGTGTCATGAACCGACGGTTCCGTTCAGTGTCGTGAACCGGACGCGTCCGTTCAGTGCATGAACCCGACGGTGGGGAATGCGAGTGAAATGGGATCGGGTGATTCAAGGGTGTTCGCCCAACTAGTGTCGGCAAAACTTCTCGTGAACTCCAAAGGTCGAGCACGACTCGAGAGAAATTCAAAGAAGTGTGCCCTGTGTCGATCAGGAAATGCGACCAGGAAAGCCGGTCGGCTAACTCAAGGTAGTGTGCCGTACCGGTGTCGATCAGTGTGCCGTCCAGGTCGAATATAACGTGCGTAATTTTCGCGTCAATAACGACAAAAGAGGCGCCTTAAAAGACGAATGTGCCGTACCAGTGTCTATCAGCGTGCCGTCCAGGTCGAAGATAACGTGCGTGATTTTCGCGTCAGATAACGACCTGCCAGCTGGACCAATGACGGTGAGCGTACTCTCGGTTCTTGTAGGAGCCGCTCCCTCGCTCTCGTTTGCCATTGCGGGAGAGCGCTGCGCAGCCACGTGGCGCGCTACAAAGGAAGAGCCATATAGCAGAAGCACGAGCTATAGGTATGGAAATAGTTGGAGAAATCTAGGCCCACACGGTCATGAAGAAGGAGAATCCCAAATATCTATGCTTGCTCTGGAATCTCGAACCTAGGGAATTTGACGAGTGGGATGAAGTATGAGGATCAGGATCCAGCTGTGTGTCGTCGATTCGCAACACTCAAACTTACAGAACCCTGCTCAAATGTTAAAAAACGCGCTGTACCTCGAATTGCTCACATGAAAACGCACTCAGCGAAGTATCAACATGCACATACCATACCGTTTGCCCTTATACCGCTTTGGACCAATTATATTGGCGGTGTTCGCCAGCAACTCAGAAAAAGACGGCATTTTGGTGGCATAGGCATGGTGACCGCATCCGGAACCGGGGTCGAAACCCGCCCAAGAGGTCTGGGCGTAATGCGGTCCGCGAAACTTCAATCCCCAAAACAGGAAATTTCACAACCGCATATGGAACCCCCAGCCCCACCTTCCTCATCTAGTGGCGCGAATTTTACGCGCCACTGACCAGTGCCAGACCGAGGGCCAAAAACGAACCAGGGTAACAAGAGCAAAAAAAATAAAACAAACCAATCTCAAATACAACCCCCGAGACCCCTCGTACTCAATCCACTCGCAAGGTGTGTTCGGGAGGGGGAAAAGGGAGGGTATTCGAACCCCCCTTTGTCAAACAAATGGCTTGTTCAGAGGTTCCCCTCTGAACGGCAATGCGACGGCTGTGCCATCGCTGTGCTTCGAAAAACGCGGCATGGCGATGGCATGGATTGGGGATAGAACTTTGCCTGAGGATGAAGTTGCGTCCCCGCTTCCATATGCCATCGAGCTGTTCGGCCCTGTTCGATAGGCGGCCACCTCCTTGCAGGGCTAGTGTTAGGCAAGCGTTTGGAGGAGGGTTCGAAGAAAGTTTGAAGGGCTAACCACGCCCCCCCAAGATCGGAAGCAGCCCATCCCGAGATCGGAAGGAGGGGGTCGTCTCGGCGATGTTGCAACCTCTCCTTCCACCATCGTCATCGTGGGCAGGGTCCAAAATTTTACATCGCACCCCACGTGAACCTCGGTAAATCAGAGGTGAAAAAAAACCCTGGTGGTTGGTTTGGTTGTGGGAGGAGGGGAACTTTTTCAGGGCAGAGATGGGTGAGGTTGGAGCATGGGCCCTGCTGAGAAAACTTACGTGGGGTATGGAGTGGGTATCTCCTTCCTTTTGGAACCCTAGCCTATCCCTTGGCCAACCTCCATATTGTGGTGCGAGGGCTGGGCTAGAGCTAGGCTAACCTCTGTGCGTGTGAGAAGGGACTTGGAGCTTTCGGGGGGTATGATTTTGAAGGGTTAAAGTAGCGTTCGACAGGCTAACACTAACCCTTCAGGATCCAGAGCGTTAAAGCCCCGTGACACCAAATTACGGGCTGACCGTGGAAAAAAACCCAATCACGAAACCACGCGACTTTTTCCGTGGAAGGGCTTGCCTGCCTATCGAACAGGGCCTTCGTTTTGGTGGACAAATGGGGGCGTTCGCCAGACACCCACTTTGATTGTACATTTGGACGATTGGGGAGGCTCGACACCTTTTTTACGGGCTGACCAGGCTGACGGAGGTAAACGAACCCTAACTGACGAGATCAGGAAGGCGAGACCCACCTTCCTGATCCCGTCATTATCCCATGGTTTTTTGCTTCATTGGTGCTGGCTAACAGCACCATTGTTCTCACGAACAAGCCATGAGTCCGCCATGGATTCCTCCGCGTAACTTCGGAAGCCTGTTACGTGAAGGCTACGGCCAGGGCCTCAGATTGGTTTTGAGCTAGGCTGAACCAATCAGAGTTGGTAAAAAAAAAATATTCTAAAAATAAGAAAAATTTGCCATTTTATGCCAGTTAACACTACAAATCACATAAATTTTCCTGTTTTTTTCACAGAAAAATACTGAAAAATCAGCCACAGTTCTAAAAAAGGTATGAAATCTCAGCCTTTTTTACCCAAATCAGCCTTTATTCACTGACTTCTGAGGCCCTGGCTACGGCCCTGTTCGATAGGCTAACACTAACGCCCGTGGAATCATCGCGGCTGTTTCGAATTAGGATTTGTTTCCACGGTCAGTGAGAAAACTGAAACGAGAATGAATGAACTATGAATGAAGTGAGTACAAATAGGAAACCCTAATTGGGTTGTACCCCTTATGGGATACCCCACTATAGCATACACAACAGCATAAGCTATAATGTTCTGATACACCCCCATAGGCAAAGTGGGGGAGAACAGGGGGTCACAAGACCAGTCAAGCAAAGCAAAGCTCAGGGTGGATCACAAAGTCACCACACATTCTGAGCACAAGGTCAAGGCCACAAGGCCAGTTCACATGCAGGAGTACATATAAATATATATATAAAACTAGACAAGCAAGAGCAGGTATATATATATGTAACAGTACAAGCAAGGTCAAGAGGTGAGCAAGTGAGGCAAGACAGAGACAAGACCCAGCTGAGTGCAGAAGCGCTGATGATCACAAGGCGCAAGTGCCTTGGTGAAAACATCAGCAGTGTTGGCCTCAGAGGCCACGTACGCAAGCCGCAACTGACCACGCTGCTGTAGCTCACGAGCAAGGAAGTAGCGGAGAGCAATGTGCTTCGTTCTATGCTCCAGTCGCTGCTCTCGACACAAGGCCAGCATGGCCTTGTTGTCTACGTACAGAACTGGAGGAGAACGAGGCGGCTCTCCAAGGTCGGTCAGCAGGTAGGTGAGCCAGCGAAGCTCCTGTGCAACCATGGCCCCGGCGTAGATCTCAGCCTCACAACTGGAGCCGAGAACCGAAGACGAGCGAGTAGCCCGCCACGAGACAGAGCCGGAACCAAGACTGAAGGTGTAACCCTGTGACGACCGCTGTGTAGCCTGGTCGTCAGCCCAGGAAGCGTCTGCGTGCCCAGTGAGGACCACTGGACTGCGCCTTCCAAGCACTAGCCCCATGCCCGACGTACTGCACAAGTAGCGCAACACCCTCTTCGCTGCAGCCATGTGCTCTGGTCGGTGTCTCCCAGGAGCATCATAGCGTGCGAGAATGCTAAGAGGGTATGCAAGGTCAGGTCGTGTGCAGGTCATCAGGTACATGAGGCAGCCAACAAGCTCTGGATACGGGCCACTCGACTCTACGGACTCATCCGAAGGCAGAGCTGAGAGTGAGTGGCGAGTAGGCAGAGGAGTGGCCTGAGGCGAGGAGTACGTGAAGCCGAAACGCTGAAGGACTTGCTGCACCATGTGTGACTGAGTCAGGGTAATGGTGCGGCGTGCTCTGTCCCGAGTGATCTGCAAGCCAAGGTAGCTGCGCAGTTCACCCAAGTCTGTGCACGTGTGTCTCTTCTACAGCTCGGACTTCACGTAGGCGAGTCCAGCAGTGTCAGCAGTGGCAAAGACCAAGTCGTCGACGTACACGAGGATGTAGAAAGGCGGCAGAGAGGTGTCGGTGCGCAGAAACAGCGACGGGTCAGCAGTAGAAGGAGCAAACCCAAGAGCCGCAAGAGTAGTCCTCAGTGTGTCGTGCCACTCACGGGGCGCCTGGCGGAGACCGTAGACTGGGCGCCGGAGACTCCACTGGGTACCAGGAGGGAACGACCCAGTGAAGCCAGGTGGGCGACGCAGCCAGATCTCCTCGTGCAGGCTGCCCTGCAAGAAAGCTGTGCTGAAGTCGAGGGAGTGCAGCTCGTAGTCACGGTGAGCGGCAACGTGCAGTAGCACCCGAAGAGTGGTCATCTTCGGGGTGGGAGAGAAGGTCTGAAAGTAGTCAACTCCCTGCCGCTGACTGAAGCCACGAGCCACGTACCGTGCCTTGAAGACAGGCGGAGAACCCGGCGGCCGCTTCACCCTGAAAATTCACATGCCACTGACGATGTTCGCCCCAGGAGGGGGGACAGCGTCAACGTAGGTGCCTGTGGACTTCCAGGACGCCATCTCTGCATCCATAGCTGCCTGCCACTGAGAAGAGTAGGGACCCTCTATCGCCTCCACGTAAGAGCGCGGAGTCGGGATGTCAAGTGCATCCGGGTCTCCCTCAGGGGTAAGCAGTACGGACACGAGATGAGGTGAAGCAGCGGCCAAGCACTGGAACTCCTCCTGCCTGTCCTCAAGGACGTCCGTGCCAAGGGCACACTCACCCCCGACGGACGGAGGACAGACAGACTCAGACTCAGTGACAAGACTAGCAGCGTAGTCTAGGCGACAGCGAGCAGCAAAGTCGACGAGCTCAGCATCTAGGGCAGACGCAGTAGTGGACTCGAAAGAAGGGTCAGTGACGACAGTAGCAAGGAGACGCGTGACAGTAGGACTGACAGCACAAAGAGAGTCCGACTCCGGGTCGGCAAGAGTAGGAAGAGAGGACGCAGGAGGAGAAGGCAAAGGGGCACGCAGAGGAGTAGTGGACGGACGCAGAGACATCCAGTGCGTGCCAGGGACAGGAGGAGGACGCTGACGCGAACCGCGACCACTAGTTCGAGCAGCACAAACAGGCGACGCAGGACGAGACGCAGGCTCACGACGCTCAGCGAGACCTCCAGTAGGACCAGTGTCGGGAGAGGGAGCAGGGAGAGGGGAGGCAGGCTGTAACTGTAGCTATGACTGGACAGGCTGTGGACACTCTAAAGAAGGAGGAGGACCTGTAGAAGATGGAAGACCAAGAACCTGCTGCAGGAGTGGAACGAAGTACGGTCGAGGCCGCGTGGCGACGCCAGACACAGAAGGGACAGCACCAGTACCCCCAGAAGGAGCACCCGCTCCAGCAGCACCAGAACCTCCAGCAGCACCAGTAGTACCCCCAGCAGGACCGCGGGCAGGAGGCTCAGCACCAACGCCCGCAGTACCACCAGCTCCAGTCGAACCCGCAGGCCCAGCAGCTCCAGTACTCCCAGCACGAGCACCTCCGGGACCCGGGGCACCAGCACCCTCAG